AAATGCAAATAGGAATTTGAAGACTGTGGTCTCCAGGGGAGCGCTGAGCGTGAATTGTGTTGTTTCTTAAATGTGTGGCTGTATGTAGGACAACTTTATGCTCACAGACATGCCCAGTTTAACAAAAAACTTTGAATGACATAACAGGGTACCCATATTTGAAATCTAAATGAAAATCTATACTATGATATCTAAGTCAGAAGCCATCACTCCCACAGAAGCAGAACAAACAAACAAACAAAAAATTCTAATTACAGAAAAAGGTATGGTCAGCCTTTTTCCCAAATGGGATTTTTCAAAAATGAGTATGTAAAAATCAAAATGAGGCCTGGTTAAAAGGTTTAACCTTGAATTGCATTTCATTTTAGAACAAAATTCTTACTAAGTATTTGTAGTGAATTTCTAGTGTAGCTCCTTGTGCTGTGGTTTGGACATCAGAGTTAAAATAAAGCAGCCCCCACGCAGACAGGCCCTGTCTTTTCATGGGCCCTTTGTAGTCCCTGCTGGCTGGTGGGGTTTTATGTGACTTTCTGGGATCTTGCTCCCACACACTGCAGGGGTGAACAAGGAGGGACAATCTTCTGACATGCGATGTGAAGGACTGACCTGACTGCTCCTACAGGGGACAAATATTAACTTGGGCATACCTGAGCTTATATTATAGTATTTCTACTAAATACTTTATTAGTATACTAAGTACTAAATAGAGTATATTTAAATAAGTTAGTTTGCAAATAATATTTTTTTCATTTTCCTTTATAAATATAGAAACATAAATACCAAAAATACCAAGGATTCAATCTTGCTCTCCAGCTAAAATCTAGGAGGTTTACCAAGCAGTGAAAACTTGCAGGAAAACAGGCTTCTCTTGTTTCCATTGTTATCTCCTTTAATTTCCTTGTGCTTTAAATAGTCAGAAGCAGAAGTACCTTTGATTATCCAGAAAATGTTTGTTTACTTTTTTGGATTCATTAACTTCCAGATGGAAGAGGAGAAGGAGAAAAACTGAAAATCTGTAATGATGCAGAGTGCATATGCTTCAGAGCAAACTGTAAGTTAGTATGGCCAGTCTGGGAAGGAAAGTAGAAGCAGGGAAAGTGTAGGACAAAAGCTAGAATGAGTTCAGTGTTGTTTACTGCCAGGGGGAGTAGCAAAAGATTATTTACAACTCTGAAAATGCTATAAAAATGTTATGATTTTATAGTTTGGGTAGAAGCTTCCAGCTTTACCACTGCATGTGGCAAAACTCTTTAATTGCAATAGCTTTAAAAAAAAATAAATAACCTTTTCAATGCTCAGTTTGTTTTTCTGTGTCTTAATTCTGCCCCAGCATCCCTTCCCCTCCTCTGGCAGCTGCCTGCCTGCCCAGCCCCATGGGTGCAGTCCCCTTGCTCTGCCCTGAGCATGGTGTGGGAAGCCCAGCGAACGCCTGCAAACCCTGTGATGCTGCTGGACTCTTCCTGCTCACTAATCAGGCCAAAAGTAGCGGCTGCTGGGGCTGTAATCCAGCACAGCCATCTTTGCAGGTTGATTTAACAGTCTGGCCTGTGAATATCTTCTGTAACTAATGGCAGCATCAATATTCCAGATCAAAACGTGAAAGGGCTTTCAGCCAGTGGCTCCTAACTGCTTGTTAGCTAATACAGGATAAGAGGGTTTTAACATTGATCCCTCTTCTGCAGTGCTACCAGCTGTGGTTTTTGTCTCTCATTTGAGTAGTTTTCCAATTATTGCTGGTTTTGTGTGTGTATATGTACATGTTTATGCATAGAAAAGACTTTTGGTTGTAGAGACAGAGTTATTGAGAGAGCCATTCTGGACAAGTAATATGTTTGCAACTCCTCTGTATAGATTTGTTAAGTTTTTGTTTTGGTTTGGTTTCTTCTTTTGTGGTGTGTGTTTTGGGTTTTTTTGGGGTGTTTTTTTTGTTTGGTTTTTTTTTTTTTTTTTGTATTCAGGGGTTTATCTTGCAGAAGATGTAGGGAAGTTTTAAAGTCTTGAATAAAATATAGTGGCATAAAAATCCTTGTGTTCATGTAAATTATGAAAGAGTTATGTCAAAAGCCATGATGTCATTATTGCCACTTTCGTTGTGTTAAAAATATTCCATTCCCATGCACCCACATTGAAGCATCAGTTGTATGGTAAATTGGATAGGCCTAAAGTGCTGTCCAGTGTACAGAGGACTACGTGTGCATATGCTGCGGCCGTGAGGCAAAGGCATCCCAATCTTGCGTGACTTAAGTAGGGCTGCTCTTTCTGCAGGAAATCTCAGCAATGAGCAGCAGAGAAAGTAGCATTCCCATTATGCTGCACTGACATTTAGCATTCAAACGCAATGTGATAGCTACAAGCTTTATGGGGTAAAATTTTAAATTATAAATAAATATCTATATAATATTAAATAAGTACATAACCTCGATGCCCAAAATTGGGTAGTCTCAGTTGACTGTAATGGTATTTTTTGCTTTTTCCTGTTGCCGTGGTAGGAGGATGTCTGCCTTGTGGGAGTCAAGAAGAGTTTTCTCATTATATTTTACTGTGTTTAGTTCAGTCTGTGTTTGCATGTTGCCTCTGTACCTCACGAAGGAGTGTTTTAATAAATTGTGTTTGCCAGTGTGATAAAATCCTCCTGCTGGGGAAATGGCCTGGCGGCTGGCTTCGGTGGTGTATCGGAGAACAGGTTTGTGCTGTCGTGTGGATGTGGTCCAGTGTTTTCTGCCCTCAAGTGTCATGCAAACCCACGAGCACCTCCTGGCTGGCGAAGACACAGAAACAACTGCCAGCATGATGGGAAGAAAACATGAGGAAATACCGTAACTAGAGTCTTAAACCTAGTACGACTGTATCTAAAGGCATGCAGAAGGAATTTGCATTACCAGCAGAAGGAGAAAATCTCATGTGAACACTTTGGGTTTCTAGTTTTCTAAAAGGATCTAGATGAAAGGTTGCACAGTGCATTTTCAAGGCCTCCAGGCAATTACTTAGATATCAGAGTAAAGCTTATAACTGGGGTGTGGGGAGGATGAAAGGACAGAGCTAGGAACAAATTCAATTTATAACATGAAATGATTGCATAATAATCCTTTTGCATGAAATTAAATAGTAATAAATGCAGTCAAGTCATGCATTATCTGTAGATGCATGCTTTTAATTGTAATGTCATTCTTCTGTTGCCACGTATTTACCAGTTCTCTTGCTAAGGATGAGTTTTGAATAACTAATTGCGTTTATATAGCTTTCTATAAGAAGATGCAAATTTGTCATCTGATGTTTGTAACTTGCCAGAAGGCTCCTTTTGCCTTTAGGGAATATTTTGCTTTGATTCCTAATCATATCAAAACCATTACAAACAGCTAAGCACAAGGAGTCCTTGGAAAATCAGATTTTTGTATAACAGTTTTCCACCACAAAGCTAGGCAACATGAATATAATTTTCTAAAAAATGGCAGGGGTTTTCAGCACTAAAGCTTGATCTCAATAAGTCACTTAGCAAAACTCATATCCATGTTTTGGGAAGCTTTTTTGGACTCCACTCTTAAACTCTGCTTTTCTTCTTGGGAAGTTACGAGCTCTGTAACCTTACATATTATGGTTGAGTGGATACAGAGAATGAGAACTATCTCATGCATAAAGTTGGTCCTGTCAAAACACATGCATACCCACGGAGAAAAATGCCTTAAAGTTTAAATTATTGTTGCCCCTCCTGTAAAACTGGGCAAGCCAGATGTCTGCCCTGTTAATTTGGCTGTTGTGTAAGCACTCAGAAGAATTATTATTTTTTTTATAAAAATCATTGTCGTTGATACTGAGCTGAACTGTTAGGTGAGATCTAGACATTTGTTTGTCAAAACTGATCTGCACTAAATGCGCAAAAGTCCTTTGTGTGGAAGTGAAATTGAACTTGTCATGAGTAATGGGGGTGATCACTTCCCTGCCCTGCGTGCTTAAGCACCTGGGCTGCATGCTCTACAGCCCTCTGCTTCACAAACGCACTTTGACAAATCTTTGCTGGACTAGAAAACCCTCTTCTGAAGAAGAACTGAAATTGGTTTTCCTCTGATTTCCTCAAACGTTTTCAGCCTTAATTTCCAAACACTTGAGCGTGTCAACAGTAAAAACTCATTTTGCAAAGGACAGCGACATGATGATGTTGTAAGAGGAAGCTCCCTGCATGCAAGAAAAGGCTATCCCTATCAACAGGAGTCAGTACACCATTTAGAAATTCTTCCATATACCTGCTGCTCTGGGCTGGATTAGCTGTGCACACACCCCCTATCTACTAATATGTAAATTCAGATAGCCGTCGAAGTTGAACTTAGAAATCATATTGTTTTGAGACAGAACTAAAGCTGGCAGCCCAGCTTCCGAGTTCTATGGACAGTGGGTAGACTATGCTAAAGTCTGCTTATTTTAAATGCTTTCCTCAGGAGAGAAAAATCAGTAAGGAGGTTTGTTTTAGAGGAATGGGAACTGACTAGTATGTTTTAACAAGCTGGAGCTTTGCAGTTTTAAATTATGGTTTGTTGTAATCTTGAATGATTGTCTTGGATGTGATTGACATTAGGCTAAAAGTGCCAGAATAAAGATGATCTTGGCTTGGTTGAATTCAGGAGGCTGTGAGGATTGAGGGAGCTTATTAAGAGATTTCCATTTTGATTGTGATCTTCTTACTGTATGGACAGTTCTGCTGTGTACAGGGACTCCAAGAACATCAGCTTTAAACAGAAGAAAGATTTAATTAGCACTAGTCCTGGTAGATCTTCAGATGCCACACAGCAGTGTGTCATGCATCCAGATTTAATGGAAAAACCCCACATTAATATGTCCCACTGTTCAATGTACAAGTAGAGCTTGGGTGCATAGTTTTAAGTTGAATTACAGCAGGGACTTATTCAGCACTGTTGCTTTCTGCTCATGCTTTCTACTAATGACATTAAATGCCATTTGGTCTTAGCTGGGTGCATCTGGATTAACATCAATGCATTCTCTCGTTATAGGAGCAGCTTACTGCCAGTTCATGGACATGTTGTTCCCAGGGTGCATTAGCTTGAAGAAAGTAAAGTTTCAAGCAAAGCTGGAGCATGAATACATTCACAACTTCAAACTTCTGCAAGCGTCATTTAAAAGAATGAATGTGGATAAGGTAGGCATTCAGTATTTGTATTTCAATCACTACAAGTTTCAGAAGTTGTATAAACTCAGTGAAGTCAATAAGTAAGGGAAATAAACTTCAAAATATTCAAAATACACTTTTTCAGCTTTTGTGCTGAGAACTGGAGTTACAAGTTGTATGTGAAGATGCTCTTGACCTTTCATAATCTGAAAAGGGTATTTAGGCATGAAGGAAGAAATTTGTCATGCCTCATGTAGGTACACAGTGAAAATTGAGTCCATGTGCTCGCTCAGGAATTGTGCAGCATAACTCATTATATCTTAATATCAGAGACCCTTTTGATAAAATACCATGTGTTGGAAGTTCCTTACCATCTGTGAACCTTGATTTTAGATACAGTGAAATTACTGGTGACCTGATTTTCCAACAAAATAACTTGGAAATATGCTGTTCTTATAAGTATTCTATGTTTCTTGCACAAAATGGGGTTTAAGGAATTTAAAGTATTCAAGAGCTGGAATATTTTATCCAATTATTTGATAGGTTGACCAGCATATGTGATGTTGTAAGAATGGAGGACTCTTAAAAAATGGCTTGTTCAGCCATGAGGTATTGGTTTATGCTTGAATGTGTGAGTTTGACAGACTCGTTGATATAAATTACTGGGTTGATAAAAATGAGTAATGAAAGTTATGTTGTCATACTTTTAGTTTTACACAGATGCACTACCTGTATATCCTTTTAAGGTTCTGCTCTGGCTTTTATCGTTGCCTTATTCAGAAATTTAAACAGTCTTAATAGAGCATCCTGTAAGACCTTTTTTAAAGCAATGGAAAACCCTCATTATTTCCTGAAATGTTGTAGAGCTTCTGTTTACAGTGTGACTTGGAAAGCCTAATAAAGTTAACATTGTCAATTTTTCTGTAGGGAGCAAACGTGCTATACTTTCTCAATGCAGAATTAAGATACAAAGCAGCAACCTGAAAGGACAGGCCAAATGCTACATTAATCCTTGTAGGAATATTGTAGACTTACAAAATGTTCCACAGTTGGCTTAACCTTGAAGAAGAAATGAAAAATTGCAATGGTTTAGGGTACCCTTTTTCCAGATGAAAATTGAATGTATTCAGGAGACATTAAGATCCATCTAACTTGGCTCTTTAATCAGCTGCATGAATTAAGCAAGGCAGGGCAGCTCTCCTTCTGCAGCACTCCCTTCGTAGTCCCTGTCTGCCCACAGCATCTGGGAAGCTTGAGCCTCCTGCAGAACGATGCTGAACCACCTCCTTACACTGTAATATTGGCCCAAGGCACCTTTTGGAGGCTTAATTTCTGTGAAAAATTCTGCAGGATATGGAGACATCCCCATAGCCTTTTTTTTTTTGGTTTACTAAAACTTTCTAGGCATTGTAGTCAACTTCTACATGTCCACAAACTGTTCTATGTATAGCTGTACATAAAATGGAAAAAAATTACAAGGTTAAAACCTCAGGGTTAGTTCATATGATGAACACGTACTACCAAAATGTAGGTTGGTTTGAACTGCAGCATGTCTTGGAAAAGCTGCTGGTTTTTTTGTAGTTTAAAGAGTAGGACAGAGACCGAGAAACTCCCGTCTGGACCTTTTGAAGAGTTGTTCATTTTTAGTATGCGTGTCTATTAAAACCAGAAATCCCTAGTTAGTTGAATATAGTGTTACTCCCAGAACAGCTTCATTAATCGTGGCTGTCACTGCAATAAGAAAGGAGTAACTCCGCGGAAGAGCAGCTATAAAGGCTTACGTATATGCACTGTACAGCCACTTCAAAGGCTGGGTCTTTGTTTTATTTTGGGTTTATTTCTTAAGAAAACTTGCAAATCCACCATAGTTTCCTTATTTTATGAAGACAACAATGGCAGAGAAATATATGCTGATATAGTTAGTAGATTTTTTCAAATAAGTGTTTATATGTAATTTTTATATTTATAAATGGCAATTATATATTATTGGAACCTTTATTCTACCTTTCAGGTAATTCCCGTGGAAAAACTGGTCAAAGGGCGCTTCCAAGACAACTTAGATTTCATTCAATGGTTTAAGAAGTTCTTTGATGCTAACTATGATGGGAAGGAGTATGATCCTGTGGAAGCTCGACAAGGGCAAGATGCTCTTCCCCCACCAGATCCTGGTGAACAGATCTTCAACCTGCCCAAAAAGTCTCACCATGCAAACTCTCCAACTGCAGGTATTGTGCATCTTAAAGAATTCCATTTCTGTCTCTGAAGATATTTATAAACTGTGATCCATTTTACGTAAATACTAGTTAAAAACAATTTCCTTGTGTGGGTGGGCCATTCTTTGCCTTATCTTAGGCTTAGCATCTGAGACAGCAGAAGTTGACTTCTTGTGGTGTGCTCTAGTTTGGCCCAGCCCTATTGGGCACAGGGTGTCCCCCACTGAACCCTCGATGTACACAATGTGGTGGATTCTAGTGATGTCTGATGGTGGAGACAGAGATAAAGGCTTTTAACCTTCTTATCGCCGAATGTGGTATGTGTAAGTGTATTCAAGAACCTTAAATGGATTGTGTTCCTCTCTCACACCTCCACCCTTACAGGAAGTTGTTAGCACAGACTGATTTTTATTTTTTTTTATATTTTATGGTGAGTGTAAATGCTTCCAAATCTTAAGGGCTGACCAGAAGGAAAAAAAAGAATTTATTTCTGATTTTATATGTGCTTATCATTCAGGTACACTAGTCCTCTTAAGTGAGCAACATACAACTATTGCTCTTTTCCAAAGATACCTCTGTCTTTTAACTTTTTATTTTGTATTTGTACTGGGTTTTGCCAGGATAGAGTTAACTTTCTTCATAGGAGATTGTATGGTGCTGTTTTGTACTTGTGATGAAAACAGTGTTGATAGTGTAGGGTTGTTGTAGTTACTGCTGAAGGGTGCTTGCACAGAGTCAGGGCTTTTCTTGTTTCTCACACTGCCCCGCCAGTCAGCAGGCTGGGGGTGCACAAGATGTTGGGAGGGGACACAGCTGGGACATCCGACCCGACTGACCATTCCATACCATATGACATTGTGCTCAGCAATAAAAGTTGGAGGAAGGGAGGGACGTTGGGAGTGATGGCGTTTGTCATCTCAAGTAACTGTTACACGTGATGGAGCCCTGCTTCCCTGGAGATGGCTGAACACCTGCCTGCCCGTGGGAAGTAGTGAATTAATTCCTTATTTTGCTTTGCTTGTGTGCATGGCTTTTGCTTGACTTGTTAAACTGTTTTTCTCTCAGTCCCTTTGCCCTTGTGATTCTCTCACCCATCCTGCTGCAGGGGAGTGAGTAAGTGGCTGTGGGGGCTCAGCTGCCTACGGGGGTTAAACCACATCGGGGTTTCTGGAACAGGCCAAAGGACAAAGCTTGATCTTTCGTGTTTATGTAATATGGGCATGTCTGGTCACTAAGCAGATGCCATTTTTTGATAACTGAGAGCTAAGCGAACAGGAGAGCAGATAACATTTTTAAAAAAATTACCACTAAACAAGTGCTACTGGGGTTGATTGCCTGTAGATATCTAGGTTTGTGCATACAGAAACACGCATGCACGCACACTTAATTCCTTTATTGGTCTCTCCTGGTTTTATTTTATTCATCCTAACCCAGTCCTCAATTAATGATTAATTTTCAGTTGCCTTAATTCTGTGACCTGTCTTCTCATGGGCTCAGATATGCACCAGTGCTGGCAAAGGGATGGTGCAGGTATGAGGCAACCTCAGCTTTAGCTTGGCTTACGCTCTGGAATCAGACCCAGATTTCAGCGGTCTGCTTTGATCAGTTCTGACGTCAGTGGGGCGTATTTGGCCAGCTGCCTTCAGCTCATTAGTGCTTCCAGGAAATCGAGCATCTAATAGCAGGCCAGTGCTGCTCTGGGCCTCTAGAGCTTGTTTACGTCTTTGTTTTGCACAATTTTGTGTCTGAAGTTTTGATTTTTAGGGCCTGTTATGCTATGCTTTCCTGTGTGATGTCTTGCACTCCTTTTGAAAACAAAAAACCCAAGCACCAATGTCATGGTATTGTCCAGCTGAGAAACTGGAAAAGAAGCTTTACCATGCTTGTTAATTTTTCTTGCAGGTGGTCTGTTTGCACAGAAGTCACAAATGTGTCATCCCAATTAAGTTGTGTCATCCAAAATAAGCTGACAATCCTAGAGAAATAGACTAGCTACCAGGGTGGAACCAGCTCGTTGATATGGAGGATAATGCAGTGATATTGTGTGGTGTTGCTGGTTGTATGAAGAGCATGTCCCATACCTCCCAGCCCTTGTATGGAATAGGACAACTGAGATATAGTGTGATGAGCTTTGGTAAGATCATGTGGCTGTGAGAGTTAGCTTTTTCATGGAAAGCTTCCTTCATTGTTAATGTAAATATTGTCCAGAAGTATAATAGGCAGGACACTGAGAGGGAATGTGCCCATGAGGAAGAGCAACATCAGGTGGCATAGTTTAAACTGCTGTCTGTAACTTTGATTATTTTGTTATTCTGTGTTCTTGGGACCTGAGTGAAATGGCTGAGGTTTTGGGCACAGCTTTACTTCCACTGACTTTGTTGTGGGAGCAGTAAACATTATGGGCTGCTTCATGCAGCTTACGCCAATGCAGTAAGCATTTGCCAGCATCTGGAGCAGTTTGCCACAGTAGCTTGCCTCTTTTTTGGTACATTTTCTTTTTTTTAATGTCATTTTTAATTTGTGTGATTTGCTCTACATTAATGGTGAAGCTTTGAAATGTTAGTACTGTCTTGTTTCAGGTCATTAACAAAATGAACAGAAGCAATAGCAAAAGAAAATAAAGAACCCAGAAGATCTTTCAGGATAATCTGAAGGTTTTCTAAATAGTGTGCAGTGGACATACATAAATGTACGCGTCCATTGTTAAGTGTCAGCAGCAAGCAGACATACAGGCACTCATTCACACTGGTTTTGGTTTTGTCAGACTTTTAAGTATGCTTATGCTAAATTGATCAAATATACACATTTCTAAAGGAATAATTTATTTAGTTACTAGTAATTTCATATGTGTTTCAGATGATTCCTGTTGTTCCATGGGATAACTCTTCTGGTGCCCTTGCCAGAGTTTTGTTTCGAGTGATTTAGCAAGTGCTGATGTCTTTAATTATTAATAGCTACTTTATAACACCCTGTTTTAACTCTGCATTTTCAGAGACAGAAGAAGATACGTCTTTCACTTGCCAAGAAAGTGGTCAAATCCTTAAACGTAGCTGCCATGAGATACAATTTTTTTTGGTATGTTAATCTGACGCTAGAGCTTGACAGAGCCATGGTACCAGTTAGCTGCTCTCCACACCTGAATGTGGATATTCACCTATATCTCCGCAAACATTGAGTGTGATCTTTATTTCATCTTTTAAAAATTATTTTAAAACAAACCGAAGCTCAGGAAATCTGAAAAGGCACTGGTTTTTGTGTTGATCGGGGAGCAGTCCAAGAGCCGTGGCCCTACTCCTTCCAAAGCTGATCCGACTGAGGAGTCAGTGCAGGTCAGGGATGATGCAGCTCGGAAACAGAAGCATAAATAGGTCCCTATGACTGTTCTGCTGTGCCACCCTCGCATTGCCTCATCCCTTCCTTGAAAGACAGAGCCGATTAGTTGCCAAGCTGAGGACCGTACAGCAGGTGGATGGCTTTGCTAACACGTGTAAAAGGCTGCTTCTAGAAAGAGTAGGAGCAGCAAGGATTTGCCAGGTAAAGGCAGCTCCCTGCTGGGGGAATGAGTATGTTTTCATCCTTCAAGGAGTGGAGCCAGCAGCACAGACCACCGCTGCAGGCTCTCTGCCAGCAGCACCACAGCTGCTTCTGGATATATTGCCATCTGCCAGCCCTGAGCCGACTTTCGATCTCTTACAGCCTCCGCTCTTCTCTAATGCAGTGGTAAACAGCCTACAAATGTAGGGTCGGAATTATGGTAAGGGATTAAAATATTAGGGCACTGTTGTTTGTGCCAGTTCTAATGCTGCTCCCTGTGGAAAATTGCAGAAAAAGCTTCGTCTGATCAAATTGAAAATGGTGATCAGGTTGTCAGGATTTTAGCTTAGTGTCTTACGTAAGTATTCCTGTATGTCAGAGCAAATCTCCATGGAGCACTGCTTTGTGTATGGGTGTGGGGTGTCAAAAATACGTGGGCAAAAAACAGCTTAATAAAATGAATTATTTACCTGTAAGCTAAAAATGCGAGAGGTTCTTAGATCTGAAGGCTGTTAGACATTTCAGTTTGAAATATTCAGTGAGAGCAGGATGACTAAAGCAGAGCTGGAAAATACTGGAGGATCACATGAGGGCTAAAAATACTCATGCTATGACAGGGAAAATAACCAGGGCAGAATGAACTGTTTGTGCACAAATGCTTTCTATATTATAGGCGTGCCACTGAAGAGCACATTTATGCAAGAAAAATAGCAATTTTCTTTAGGGAAATGGTATATCCTACTGTGGCAGATGTGCTGTAAATTAATTTTGAGGGATAAAAATACTCAACAAAAACGGTCTTTATTTTAACAGCTAGTGATAGGATTAGGACTCCTGAGGGACTAGAAAACGCCTTCCAATGCTTTTTTTCTTTTTTTTTTCTTTTTTTGTGTTTCCACCAAAACATGACACCTTCTTCCCCAGGTGGCAGGCAGTTTGCATTGGCGATGGCAACCTCTGGTCACAGTAGTGCGGTGCTCCAGGACAACGTCGCAGAGCTGGGGATGAGAAGAGCTGCGGGGCAACAAACTGAAAATGCTTTTGTGCCTAGTTCATATGAGGCCAAGGATTGTACTGGCCGACGGGAACAGCATGTGCAGTGACAGTGCTAACCCAGGAGGTAGAAAGGAAAGTGGCTCAGCCTTAATACAGACACAGCCCTTCTGCCAGCATGGCGAGAGTTTAATTTTTAAACTCACTGAGCCTGAGAATTTAGACCACGAAGCAGTGGTGCTTGCAGTGCAGGAGCCAGGGGCTTTTTTCTAGAAAGACTGTGTTTGAAAAAACAGTGGTGAAAATTGCTGTCTTAATTTTCAGTGTATTATGGGTGTGGTTTGAATGCCTGTCTTAAATTTTTTGTATGATCTTTTGTATTTTGATATGCTTTTCTTAACGTATTTTCTTTCACATTTGACTTTTGGGACTGCTTTTTCTGTATAGCTAAACAAATAGTTGAATTTTATACAGTTTTTTAAAGA